GTGAAAAATGACGACAATAAAGTGAAAAATGGAATGAGAAAAATTACACGCAGAAAAAACACCAAAGTGACACATAGATTTACGTGGTTCGACAAATTTGCCTACATCCATGGAGCTGCAGAAGATTTTATTTCTTTGAGGAATCACACCATCGAGCGCATCGACGTTTACAAGAAAATCTCTATTTTCTTCTCTCCCTTCCTCTCTCTTTCTTTTCCTCTCTTTCTCTCTTAATAGACTTGGCTTGGCCCAAACGTACTTAAAACAAGTGGCTGGGCTTATGAGAAGCCATAAGAGGCTATTTATAGAAATTAGGAGAGCGGTAGGTGGGAGATAGGTGGGAGGTAGGTGGGTGTGGTAGGTGAGATTCTTAATTAGGAAGTTAATTAAATTGCGGTGGAAAACCCACATTACCCAACAATTCTCCCACTTAGAGGCTGGAACACTGACTGCATCACCTGGTGGTTGCATCATCTACTAACTGTACCGAACTTTTCCTCAAACAAAATATCCTCCATCTCTGCAACTCAAAGCCCCTGTCATCATGTCAGAAGACCAGCTGAAGTCGGCTGAAGTCGGACACAACTTCAACTTCTCACGAGTAACACCCTCAGTTGGCATATTACCGTCAACGTAATCTTGTACCACCAAGCTCTTTCCTGGGTTACTTTTGTATATGCTTACAACTCCCACTGCATGAGCAATATTCTGCCCTTTTCAACAAGTCCAGTCTTGTACCTCTTACTGTTATCAAGCGCAGTCTTCACCCGGTACACCCACTTGTTGTGCAATGCTTTCTTCTTTGGTGGAAGTTTTGTCACCTCCCAAGTCTGATTCTCTGACAAGGAATCCGTCTCCAACTCCCTGGTCAGCTCCCACTTGCTCGAATTCTTATCTCGCAAGATTTCTTCACAGCTCTGTGGTTATCCACCATTTATCTGTACAATGTCCGGTTTTCCTGCCTTTGGTGCTCTGCCACTTTTCAAGAAATTGACCTTCTCTTGCTTCCCCATAATGCACCTCTGACTCGGTGTCCACGCTTGAGTAAACTTGTAGTCATATATAGTGTGTTTGTTTTCTTACTCCGAGCCCGCACTAATGCTCCTTTGGTAACCTTCCAGGTGCTATCTGAGAACACCACCGAATGACCACCCTCATTGAGCTGCCCAACAGAGATGAGGTTTTTCTTCAACTTAGGAACATGCCTGACCATTTGCAAAGTCCATTTGCTCTTATTAGGGAGCGTAATATCAACGTCTCTCATCCCCACTACGTTCAGAGTTTTTTCATCAGCCAGATATACATTATCAAAATTAACTGCAACATAATTTTGCATTAACTCATAGCAGGAAGATGTATGAAAAGAAGCCCCTGAATCCAATATCCAGTCATCAATAGAACTGTGAACTGCTAGCAATAGCGCATTTTCTTCAGTCTCAGTCACAACATTAGCGTCATCATTTTCCTTCGTCATCATTGTCCTTCTTCTTAGGATTCCTGCAGTTTCTTTTTATGTGGTCAGCCTTGCTTCAATTCCAACAGGTTACCTGCTGACAATTAGGGAGCGTAATATCAACGTCTCTCATCCCCACTACGTTCAGAGTTTTTTCATCAGCCAGATATACATTATCAAAATTAACTGCAACATAATTTTGCATTAACTCATAGCAGGAAGATGTATGAAAAGAAGCCCCTGAATCCAATATCCAGTCATCAATAGAACTGTGAACTGCTAGCAATAGCGCATCCTATATTTCTTCAGTCACAACATTAGCGTCATCATTTTCCTTCTTCTTAGGATTCCTGCAGTTTCTTTTTATGTGGTCAGCCTTGCTTCAATTCCAACAGGTTACCTGCTGACAAGACTTTGATTTTGATCTTCTTCTGTTTGAGTTCCAGTCATGTGATCTCTCTCTGGAACCAACATTCAACGTCAAACTTGAACACGAGGCATTGCCAGAATCCTTCCTGCGCAACTCATCAGCCAAAAACAAATCACGAATATCATCATATTTCAACTTAGATTTACCTGCAGAACTGCTAACTGTCATCCTCATGGCTTCCCAGCTATGTGACAATAAAACCAACAATATCAGCGCACGTATCTCATCAGCAAAATTAATTTCAACAGATGATAATTGATTTGTGATAGTATTGAAATCATTCAGGTGTAGAGCAACAAACACCTTCTGTCATCTTCAAGTTGAATAACTTTTTCAACAAGTGCACATTGTTATTCGCCGATGGTTTTTCATACATACCTGATAAATCCGCCATGAGCAAGTGAACTTTTTTATTCGCCGATGGTTTTTCATAAATACCTGATAAAGCCGCCATGAGATCTACAGTAGTCCTCTCCTTGATGACGTTGTGGGCAACCGATCTCAATAGGGTTAATCGAATAACCCCCAGAACCTGCCGATCCAACAGATTCCATTCCGCCTTGTCCATCTTTTCTGGTCGCTTTCCCAGTAACAGAAGATGAAGTTTCTTCCCATAGAGGTAGTCATCCATCTGCATCCTCCAGTAAGCAAAATATGTGTCATTGAATTTCTTGATCCCCGATGTCATAACTTCATCTTTTCGTCTCCTCCCATCGTTATTCCTTAGATTTAAATCAAAGCTCTGATACCAGTTATTGTGAAAAACGCTAAATCAAAGCTCTGATACCAGTTATTGTGAAAAATGACAACAATAAAGTGAAAAATGAAACGAGAAAAATTGCACGCAGAAAAACACCAGAGCGACACACAGATTTACGTGATTCTGCAAATTTGTTTATGTCCACGGAGCTGCAGATGATTTTTTTTCTTCGAGGAATAACACCGTCGAGCGTCTCGACGTTTACAAGAAAATCTCTATTTTCTTCTCTCTCTTCCTTTCTCTTTCTCTTCCTCTTTTTCTCTCTTAGAAGACTTGGCTTGTGGCTTGGCTTATGCAAGTCATAAGAGGCTATTTATAAAAATTAAGAGTGCGGTAGATGGAAGGTAGGTGAGCGGTAGGTGGGTGTGGTAGGTGGGAAGGTAGGTGAGATTTTTAATTAGGAATCAAATTAAATTGCAGTGGAACGGTTCTCCACATTCCAATATATCTAGATTATTATTGGTAGAAGCAAATTAGGCATTAATTGTCGGCACTAGTAGCATCGCCGTCATTATCAATAACATTTCATACCGTGGCTATCAATAGAGGCAAATTATAGAGGTGTGCATTATTTAGTGAAAAATCAAATCAAACAGAATCAATCACATTTCACAGATTTTATTCGACTTTGAAATAACGATTTATTTTTTTTGTTTTGAAATTTTAATCTTCAAGTATAATTTATTGATCGATTTTGATTTTAAATGAGGGGTAATTTGATTTGTTAAAAAAGCAATACAATGTATACTGAATGTCATACAGAAGTAATGTATTGTATTTAAAATTCTTTATAGCTCTTTGATTAAGTGTAAAACAAACATATAATTTCAATTTTTATTTGGTTTGAAGTAGAATGAGAATAATGTTCTTCAAACTATATGAGGACTTACATAAATTATTGACCTCAAGGGGTGGAAGTGGCCAATTACGATCAACTGCATGGTGGTTGTCGGTGGGGCAATTAATGGCAGCCAGCAGCGGTGGCCAGTGGCGGGGCGATCAATTGTGGGCAGCAGTGGTGGCCGGCAGCGGCCTGAGGCGATAGCGAAGGCTGCACTAGAGGTGGTGGTTGACGATGGAGGTGACCCGACAGGTAGTGTTGGGCGGCAGCTGTCGAAGATGGCGGGTGCAACTATAGTAGCAACTACAGTTGTAGGTAGCGAGCTATGAGAACGGTTGGCAGGCGGAGGTGACTGGGGCAGCAGCGGCCATCAGAGGTGGTCACAATGACAGTGATCGGTGACAACATCCAGAGATAGTGTTTGGCGGAGAACGATGGCAGCAAGAGGTGAGCGACGACTGTGGTCGGCGGGCAACGAAAAGCAATAACTATGATTAATGGGCAGGTGGTTGGAGGCATCGAACAAAGACGAAGCCAATAGAGGTGGCGGGTGGTGGCAATGGTCTGCACTACTTTACATAGAGTTGTGTATTTTGAATTCAATTATATTCAACAAATTTCAAATACCAAAAAAATAAGAGGAATGATTTCTAAATTCATTCTTTTTTACACTGTCTTTGTAATTCTTCTGACCAAACGCCTAATTTCTTAAACCCCCTGCAAAAGAAATGCAATTCAATCCTAATTCTTCCGACCAATCATCCCTAAACAAAATTACATTTCAATTTGGTTTGGATCAGCTTTAACAAAAGTTTGGTCAATTTGATTGTTTGAATTTTGGATGTTGGTTACAATTTGTTTGACCTATTTGCGAACAAATCTATCCAAATAAATTGATTGCACACCCCTAGCAAACTATGCCTAAGTTGTTGGCATTATTATATTACAAAGTCACTCACAAGTACCACAAATTGTAAAGGAAAAGTAAGCAATGAGTGACTATGACTAGAACAAATATAAGCTTCCCTGCATAAAATTTAAGAATTTTGAATGAGAAGACGAGAGTTAATTGATATGTAATTGTGATTCTATTAACTTTATGAACAATGAGAATATTTTAAATATGATTAATACTTCAAAGTAGAAACTACACATATTAAACATAAACTTTAATTTTACATTTAATCCTATTTATGCAGGAAAATGTGTAATAAAATTTTTAAAGTTAAATGATGGTATTTTGATGAATGATGGTAGATGTGATATGAAATATTTGGATGGTATAAATGTGAAAAGTAAAGCTTAGGTGTTAGACATGTAAATACATATGAATTTGGTGGTATGTAAATGCCCCAAAGATCAATTTCAAGCAGAACAATACATCGATCAAAACATCAAGATATTTATAGAAATGATGTTATTTTTATAAGAATTTCAATCCACAGCAAATTTTGAAGAATACAAATTTTGGCATATAATAACAGCCAAATGCAATGTTACTATACATTGTGCCCCAATAATGAGAAAACATATAAAATGAAAAAATTAAAAAAATAATAATAAAAAAGAGTATTCCCTAAAGATATGCAGTTCCCCTGTCACAATTAATGCAGTCAAAGAAGCATCCCTTTAAGAAGATGTTTGATGTAGACTAAGTTAATGAAGTAAATCTCTTAAAATTTAAAGTTGATGTGAGAAGTGCCAGCTGAGAATGTATCAATTGACTTCACTAAATAGAGAATGATAGGACTGCCTGCTAACCAAGTAACCAATAATATATTATAAAATAGGGAAGGCTTGGAATAATGATTATATTATCACCACTAGGTTGTGATATTCAAACTAAGAAAAAAAATCTACAATACAATAGAAATATGATTTTAATGAAAACTATTTTCAGAAGTGAAAGAGGCATACCTCTATTATCGAGACCAATGAGGACTCAACCGCAGGAGAACTCTTCTTGGATGATGTTATTTTTATATGAGTCTCTATTGCATTCAGTTGCTTTAACATCTCCCTCATCTGCTTCTTCCCACTTTCAGAATCCTCCTGCAAGATAACCCTCTCATCCTCAAGCTTCTGCAGTCTTCTTCTAAGCTGTTCAATATCAGAATCCATGGATTTTTTGTTCGGGTGTTCGTCATCTTCAAAAAGGTAATCTACAGCTTCCTCCGGCATTCTAATTATGGAATTAGTCTCAAAGTTTGTATCCTGCAATAGTTTCTTACAAAATTCACCTGAATTGCAACTTTTGTGGGTCTCTGGGACCTCAAATAAATCATGGAATAAGGCATAATACTTCACCTTTCCATTAAATGTTCTTTCCAGGCTTGAAGCATTTTCATTGTTTCCTATGGCTTCCTTATCTGACTTCACACCTCCTCTTTCACTAGAATCAGTACTAGGTGTAGAAAACCAGGAACCTATGAAGCCAATAGGGGAAGACCTGCTTTGAATCTTATGGCTCATCACGCTAAAACAAGAAGAGCCAACTGGTGAATTCTTGCTGGATTCTTCAGTTTCATATTTCTGAAAGTCGTCTTCTTCATTCTCACCAATCCTTCTCCATGAAGATAATATGGGGCTCTCATCATCAACAAATCTCTTATCAGAACAAATATCTTCGCCACAAAGTGAAGGAAAGGAAGCATTCCTTCTAGAAATACCATTAGAACATGATTTGTTCTCAGAAAGAATCAACTCTGCAAAATCTGGAATTTTGATGCCCAAATTTGTTTTGTTTTGCTTGTTAGATTTGAGTTGAAATTGGAGAGATTGGATCTCCAAGTCTTTTTGCTGAATGATTTCTTCAAGAATGTTCAAGGATTCTTCAGCGTGGTTTATCCTTTCTTCTGCCATTCTCTTGTATTGAGAAGCTTCCATCTTCTCTGCAGCTTTCTCTCTCTGAAGGCGAAGGATCATGGATAGGGCTTCAGTGGCTGCAGTTGCGGAAGCTTCTCTTTCTTCCTCTAGCTCAACATAGAGTTTCTTCGTGATGAGGATTTGGTTGCAAAGAGCTTCTTTTAAAGCAGAAATATCTCCTTTAGCCATATTTAGATATTGTTTTCGCACTCCTAATTGTCCTAGGGAGAGAAAAAGTTTAAGGTCTTGGTAGAATCATTAAATAATTCGGAATTCAAGTGAGAAGAAGATAATGGGATATAATCCTACATTTAATGACTTCCAGTATATTTTTTGAAGCATACCGATTGTTGAAGTAATATAAATTTCTAAACTAGTAGCAATGATGCTTGTGTGCGATCAGACAGACCTTTCCAGATTGTTTAAGAGTATGACACGGGACTTCACACTCAAAGCTACTGCTTTAATAAGGTTTCTGTTTTTTTTGGGTAAAATGAGGGCATAGCCAATAAAACTAAGAAGAATTTACATACGTAGCACCCAATTCTTATGCATTTACGTATGTTGCACCTAAACCTTCATTTTTACAGGTCAAGCACCTAATTCTTTCAAATCAAATAAAAAACGGCACTAATTACTCTTCGTCAGAGTAAAATCCACCTTTGCATATATAGGGAGGGTGTTTTCTCTGTAAATATGAAGGTTTAGGTGTGAGATACATAAATGCATAAGAATTGGGGGCTACACATGTACGTATTACATACGTAGCACCAAATTCTTATGCACTTATGTATCTCTCATCAAAACCTTCATTTTTACAGGCCAAGTATCCAATTTTTTCCAATCACATCAAAAACAGCACTAATTATACTTCTCCGCAGAATAATCTACCTTTTCATACACAGGGAGGGTGCTTTCCCATAAATATGAAAATTTAGGTGCGAGACATAAATGCATAAAAATTGGTTGCTACGAATATAAATTTCCATAAAATTAAAATAAAGGAAGATTTAGATACATGCATACCACTCAATTCCTATGTACCTACACATTTAACCAATAAACTTCCATTTTTACAAATGGAAAGTGAATTTCAATTTTTAAAAGTTAAAATAGTGATATTTTTTATATGATATGAAATATTTGAGTGGCATTCATAAAAAGAATCAAATTTTAGAATTTAAATATGTAAATGCATAGGAATTGGGTGGTATGCAAGCTTATGAAAACTGGACCGGACATCGAACCGAAAGAGAGATGTTCAAGGTTCATCGCTTCAACCGTGGTCAAACCAGAGGTTGAGCCGGATAATGTAATGACATAAAAAATATTTAAATATAATCAAAATAATGCAATAAAATCTGAATTATAAAATGTAATAATTTGATTAACTGTAAATCAATAGCTAGAGGAAGAAAAACAAAAATTTAACAAAAATCTTTTTTCTTACAATGAGTTATAAAATTATATTTCTAATAAATATTAACTTACAACATAGAATTTAAATTACATATTAAGCAATCTACATATTCACATAAGAATGAAAATCAAAGTTTTATCAAGTTTCAAAAACAAAATACTTACAAATTATTACATCATCATGATTATATTACCCGATACTTACTATCTTTTCAATTTCTAATGAATGGTAATATGATATTGTACTATCTTGTAAATTTCAATAAGATGAAAATTTTTACTTAGTTTCGTATCTCAGTAAAGCAAGCTTGAGATCTGACACTATTTGGGAAATGAACAGATGGGAAAATTTAATACGCTTTGTTGTTTCGGAAATGATATACAACAACAACAACAACAACAAGCCTTTATCTCACTAAGTGAGGTCGGTTACATGAATTCTTTTTCTCCATTAGACCCTACTAGTGTCATATTTTCATTTAATTCTAATAGATTAAAATCATTTTTTATGCAATATGCCCAAGTCTTTTTAGGTCTACCTCAGCCTTTCTTAATACCAGCCGAAGCTAAAATATCTACTCTACTAGCCTGATCATCATATGGACGACATTTAATATAACCAAACCATTTAAGATGACTCTCTCTAATCAGCTACTAGAACGACACCAACCCTATCACAGATATATGCAATTTTGTATTTTGTCCCTATGTGTTAAGCCACTTATCCACCTAAGCATTCTTATCTCAACAACACTTAACTTTGATTTATGCTTCTCTTTTAAAGACCAACATTCTATGTCATAAAGTATTGCAAGTCTCACCACCATCTCATAAAATTTTCCTTTCAGTTTGTGATACTTTCTATCATACAAATGCCCGAAGCATTTCTCTGTCTCAACCAACCAACTTGAATTCTACTAATAACATCGCTATCTATATCACCATCACTCTAAACAATTGACCCATGATATTTAAAATGCTCACACCTTTTAGTGATTTGATCTCCCATAATTACAACTCTGCCACTAGAGCTATAACTAATAAAATTACATTTAATGTATTCAGTTTTAGTTCTACTCAAACGAAGACCTTTAGACTCCAATGTAGACCTCCATAATTCAAGTTTTAGACCTCCATAACAAACGAAGACCTTTAGACTCCAATGTAGACCTCCATAATTCAAGTTTTTCTTATCCACAAGAAGGATATTTATCCACAAGAAGGATATTATCAGCAAAAAACATACATCAAGGTACATCCTCCTATAAATGTCCACTAAAGGCATCCAAAACTAAAGCAAAAAGATATAGGATTAAAGCCGATCCTTGATGTAATACAAATGAAATAGGAAAATACTTGGTCAATCCTCTTTCTGTTCGAACACAAGTAACAACTCTAGTATACATATCTTTAATGACTTGAACATAAGACATATCAATATCTTTCTTCTCTACAACTCTCCAAATCATAAGGCATATCTTGGAACTTTATCATAAGCTTTTTCTAAATCAATAAAAATCATATGTTGATCCTCCTTATTCTCTCTGTACTTCTCCATCAAACCTCGAAATAAATGTATAGCTTCCATAGTAGAACTACCCGACATCAATCCAAACTAATTATGAGAAATCTTCATATCATGTCTTAACTTTACATTATGACAAATCAAATTAATTCCTCTATAATTTGCACATTCTTGTGCATCCCCTTTATTCTTACAAATGGGGACCACAATACAGTTCCTCCACTCGTCAGACATCTTTTTATATTTTTAAAATAATATTAAAGAGCTTGGTAAGCTTCTATAATTTGCACATTCTTGTGCATCCCCTTTATTATTACAAATGGGGACCACAATACAGCCTTGTGCATCCCCTTTATTCTTACAAATGGGGACCACAATACAGTTCCTCCACTCGTCAGACATCTTTTTATATTTTTAAAATAATATTAAAGAGCTTGGTAAGCTAAGAAACACCCAAATCTTCTAAATATTTCCACACTTCAATCGGGATATCATCAAGTCCTATTGATTTTCCACCATTGGCTCTCTTTATATCTAGCATTCGTTCAGCCCAAATAAAACAGAATATGATGGCAAAACAATAGGCCAGTTGGAAGATGTCAATTAAGAGAGAGCTCAAATGTGTAGAGATGATTTAGTGAGTAAAGGATAGAATATTAGAGAAATATAATTGAGGCTACACTATTTAAGATTATAGGAACATACAATATTTGAGAAAGACAATGAGAACAAAGATGGGTTAGTTCTTTATGGGAGAACCATATCTAAAAAAAGATAGCAGAATGTAAAACACTTCTTTTGAACAAAACAAGCTTCCAGCAGAAAAACTCTTCATAAGTGGGGATTAAAGAATCTTTGGCAGCTCCTTTGGGGCAGGAGATGCCAATCTCTAAGAATATATTATTAAAGAAAGCTTGTTTAAACACTCCCAAATTTCAAATAAAGAAGAGGAGTGACCATCTCCTAATATATTTTTCATTATGCTCTCAAGTAAGGGCCCATTGTTTTTGATGGGGTGAGGAAAAATAAGGAGTCTAACTCTGTAAACATCCAAAATAAATGTGCATCAAAGTGACCAAAAGTCATTTTTTTCTTTCATAATCTGAAAAGCAAGCCTCAATTGAGAAAAAAGTTTTACGATGGAAGTTGAGGGGCAATGCCCATCCCACGAGCAGCTCAAGGTAACCAAATTAACCTTCAAGCAATCAACTACAAACAACCAAGGAACCACTCAAAAGGGATTTGGAAGCACATGCCACAATGCTTTTAAAAGCACTTTTAGGAATGCATGTGTTTATCCATAATGTAAAGTTTGGCTAAAGTAATTTTGTGGAGCTAAGGGAATCCCATCATTGAATAGGAATTTGGGTTTCCAACTAGGGAACTGGTGACATGAATTATGTAGTGGTTATAGAAACATGGCGGGGATGATGGAAGTCAAGACAAGTGAAAGGTAAGGATTAGATATAGAATCCAAGAATTTTAACGAGGGATGGGATTTCAGAATAGAAACAAACAAATATAAAATATTATATATAGCTTTAGCAAAGGTGTTAAGAGATTGACGCAAAGTTGTGAATGTTGAGAATGGCTCTCACCCAATCAACAATATCCTCATAAAAAGGTTAGAAATATTTAAGGGATGGCTGCCAACAAAAGTGAATAAGCTACATCACAAAATATCTAAAATGACATAAGAAATACATCAATAACAACTATGGAGAAAGAAGAGGACAATAGGCTTCTCAGATGTATACGAGTAAAGGAAATAAGAAATAGTCCCCTTCCCTAATCCATAACATCATAAGCAAAGCCTTTAGCCAATATTCTAGACAATAAAAACTTTTTGTTAGCCAAAACAAAACTGCTCTTGTGGCCAAATTTGGTGCAAAAAGACTATAATGATGAATATAGGTGAAAGCTCTTAGCAAGCTCCCTAGGCACGACTCCTACAAAGAGTGCCAATCGAAATAATTCCCTTAGGCATCGCTAACATTTAGCAAGATGATGTCATGCAATCTATCATCAAAGGTGGTCTAAAACCAAACTAAAAAACTTACCTGGGGCGGCTTCTGGAGTAACTAAAGGATGGTGGCCTTAAACTACTAAGTACCCTAATAGTCCTCAAGAAGTGCAAGATGGCACTCATGACTTCTTGCACCCTTGGCCAAGCTCCATGAAAGAACTAAATGTTGAATCCATCCATATCAGGTTATTTATCATTTTATGTATTGATTATAATTTCCTAATCTCCTTCTCAACAAATCAAGGTGAGAGAATTATCTTCTGTGAGGATTTTTTTTTCTTTATGAGAATATCAATATTAGTAATCATATAACATGCGTTGAACAATGATCTAAATAAATTGATTATAACTTGGGAAATATCTATTTTGAGAAAAAATAGAGGATCCACCCATTTCTAAAATTCTGATTGTATTCAAGTATTTGCAACCAATAATTCATTGATACAGTTCAAATGAAGCCACCTGGCCTTTACCCTTTCTATAACCCAACTGGCCTTTGTGAAGTTGAGGGAAAAGAGCTCCTCCTTAGAATGCTTATTTTTGGCAAAGAACTCATAACCTCAATGGGTTTTATATGAACGAATTGAATAGTATTTAACTTAAATATTGCCAGACCCAAAAAAAAAAAAAAAGACAATTTTAAAATTAAAATTTACTAAATCCAGTTCCTTGTCAATTCCTTCTTAGTTTTGCCAGGATTTAATACATGCAGATATATAAAATTTACTAAAGCGACTAAAGCTGTTACCATATAACCCCTAAGTGTTTTCTTCTAGCAAGCAAAGATTCTAAATTATCTATCCTTAGCCTCAGCAAGCTAGCATGGTATGTTAGAAGGAAAGGATTAGGCCAAAAGTTTGAAAACTTCATTTGAACTCTTCAACTTAGCCACAAAGTTCGCGAGCCTAGAAGCGAGCTCTAGCAGCTCAACTAATAAATGAAAGAATAATGATACAGTAATTCTAAAATTAAAAATAATGATGCATCTGAAAAACAAAAGGGGTGACTAAGAACAAGAGGGGAAAGAAAAAAATTATTCTCAAGAAAAAAAAAAGATAAATTCAAGATAAATTCAGAAAAACCAAATAGCATAGGAAACAACAAATCACATTCTTCGAAATCCATCATATGAAGCACATTGAAAGCCAAAAAGCAACAATTATAAAAGAAATAAAGATAGAAATCCAAGGATTGGAAAATAATGACCTGATTCCCAAAAATTGATGTGTTCTTCTGCATAAATCTGACGTCGATCTCACTGTAAACGAATGTAAAACAAATAAAAAAAATTAGAAAAGCAAATTAACATGATTCACCAATCCCAAATCACGGAAACAACAGAAGAGATGGAAGAATATCAATGTCAATCGATCTCAGGAAAGAAAAAAAGAAAAAGAAATTTTGCCCAACCTTTTTTTCACAGCACAAACTCCACTTCCACCAAAGCCGAGCTTTCTTCGATTCTAGATGAGACGAGGAGAGAATGAGCGAGAGAGGGAGAGGGGGAGAGAGGGAAACAAACATGGGCTCTGCGAGGAATCCGAAGGTCGTATAACGTACTTCCCGCTCTGGTTTCCTGTTTGACGTTCTAAAGCATCCGAGGTAAATATGTAAAAAATTTTCAATTTTTGTTGGAAAAAATATTATAAATTCGAATTGATTTCTATATAGGAAGATTAACATCCATACCATTTAATTTTGCGTATTTACATATCTTACCACTTTAAATATGCATGAAAAGGAGAATTTTAACTTTTAAAAGATAAAATTGTGGTATTTTTTAGTATCATCTGAAAGATTTGGATGATATAAATGTTTAAAAGTAAGGTTTAGGTATTATATATGTAAATACATAGGAAATGGGTGGTATGTATCTAAATGCTCTTTTAATTTATTTTTGATGTCACGTGTGTAGTATATCCACTTGAATAATTTAGAATGACTCGGTGTCCATTCGTTCTATCCTGAAGCTCAAGATATCCACTGGACTTCCTGGTACGTGCATGAGCACGGGAACTTGATCAGTACCGAATTTCGCCCTACTCGAGTAATTTACTGTGGGATGGGGTTGGCACTAGCTAAGGACAAGTTTAACACTTGTCTCAATGCTTAGAGACCTTTGTCCATCAATCCATACTCGTTTATGGTCAACTGGAGTCACAAGACTCACCCGCAGGGACTACCAGGTGAGAATTAGGATTTCAGACCACTTTGTGTCGCCCGAAATGACAGCTATTTTGAGGGGTTATTCTCATGTTGCGGCATGTCTATGGGCCTTCCTTGATGGCTAGAGATCATTTCCCATCTATTTAGAACCTTCTGAGGCTAAGGGAACTCGTTTGAGACCTCTGCCACGCTATGAGTACCAAAACCTAATTTTGACTTGGCATGACCATGCCCAGTTTTGGCATGGTCACGTAAAAATCTCCCATTTCAGAGCTCAAGAAAGAGAGCCTGACGTAATTGATATGCCTAAAATATGTTACTTTTATTTACACATTTAATGCTTATTTTTAATGATATTCCACTTTGATGAAATGTATTTTTAATGTTTTTTGTTGTAGGTACACCAAATGGAGCAAGTGGAGCAAATGGAATGAAAATAGAACAACTTGGAGTCAAAAGAAGCAAAGTGGCCAATGTTGACCTGGCACCTAGGAGCCAGATGCGTTTATCTAGAAGATTCAATGAACGTTGACAAATTTTGAATGGGTGCTTGAAGAAACTCTTGGTGATTTTGAGAACTATATTTAAAGAGACTTCTCGAGATTCAAAGTGGGGTTCTTTTAGAGAGAAAGTAGAATTATTTTAGAGAGAATGTGAGTTTCCTTAGAGAGGAGAAAGTCTTGGAGGCTTGCTTAGATTTGCAGGAGAAGAGGAGAAAGTGAGAGATATCATCTTCACTATAGTTCTAAGTGAGATTTGAGCGGAATTGTAAGGAGAGTGAGTGATTCAAAGGAACTAGTAAGATTGCTTGGGAAAGAG